AGATCAAAGTAGCTATGCACTCACTTGTTAAAGTGATAACTCAAAAATCGGACAACGCTTCGCTTCTAACAATTGTCTTTTCCATTGAAGAAACATAGTATTATTATTACTAAGTTTTAGTCTATTATTTATTGCGACTAATTATTAGTCTAGATTCATCATTAACTCAAAGTCTATTATCATGATCTATCAAGTAAGGAACAACCAGGTAGGATCATATCACTACTAGAAAACAGCCCTTTAATGACGCGCAAACAATGACACGCGCTGATAGAGGACACGCATTTGTGCGTGCCCTAAAAAATAATGTCAGTTTTTCAAAATTTAAAGGATAGAGGACACGCATTTGTGTGCGCCCTAAAATTAGTTTCCAACAAAAAAAATTAAAAACACGGAGGGAACCTATCCTAAAAAGCGCGTCCTGTTACCCTGTCGCTTTATAATTTTAGTCTATGAACGCGCGTTTTCGTTTTTTAATAGCAGGGGGAAATGAAATCGAAAAAAATTAAAAACCCCACCTGTTGTGTCTCCTCCTTCCACAGGAACGCTCACCTCGATCAGACTCACCACCATCTCTCTCTCTCTCTCTCTCTCTCTCATGGTACGGACCAGCACTATCTTGTATATGGAATGTAATAAATCGGGCCAAGAAGAAAAGGAAAGGGCGATTTCTTGGCGGACAAGCCTCCGCAAAGTGATTCCTCTCAATCTTCATCTTCTCCATACTGTTTCTCCCCATTCTTGCTTCTAATGAATCAAATATCGCCGAATAATAATGTAACGATTCAAGAAATCGCCCGAGAAAAAACGGCCCGTTGTGGTTCGCGTCTTGCTCTGCCACCGTTAGTAGCGTCAGCCCTAACTTCTTGATCGCCTGAAGTATCGTTTTCAGGTAACCTCTTCTCTCCTTCACATATGTATTCAAATGGAATATGTTGTTTACAAACAACGATTCACCTTCTTTTATTCCTATATTTTCTCTCGTTAGCATCGCCGGAGTGGCTGGCCCTGGAATCAGTCGGAACTGTACTTCAATTCCGACGGAGTGGCCCAGTTTATTACATTCCATATATATTTCCTTTCCTTCGTTTCTAACCCTAGTTCGTTCTCCCCCCCCCCCCTTTTCCTTCACAAACACACATGGATTATGAGTTCCTTATCTGTTCCTATGGGGTTCACGAAGCGTGGTTTATACATCTAGGGTTTCTGAATTTCGAGTATTATGCACACAAATGTCAGAAGAAATATGGTCAACCAGCTCAAATATGGTCCGATTCCAGTTCTCAAAGCCCTCATAGATGTATATAGTGCAAGATCAAATTACAGATGAAACCCTAATAGCATTGTGCGACAACAGAAGAAGATGATGATGTTGGAGAAAAAACGTTCTTGCTTGTTCTCTTTCTCATGCTTTGCATTCTTTTTCTTCAGGGATTTTAATCCATTCTTTAAAACTGTGTAGTCTGCACTTTATTTAGGGCTTAATTTCTTTAAAACCATGTCTTTTCAAATTTGTATCCATGTTAATGATACTCACCAGGTGGAGTTATAAAAAAATATCATTTTTTATTAAATTTTCCTATGGTTCTATAAAGTCTTATAGAGTAGATAGGTGTTTGATGTTGAATTATTGTTCATCCCATATATCATGTATTTAAAAATTTAATTATGTTTTGGTTGCTTTCCATGTATTGTTATCTTCAACCAATTCTCTTGCAAGAGAACTAGCAAAAACACAATCTGTTTCAGAAGTTGCACTGGGCTTCATAGCTTTGGGTTCCAGTGTGCTGACTGGTTTCTCAACTACATCTTCTTTGGGTGGGGTAGGTGCAGGGGGCTTCTGGGGCTGCATCATCTGATGTTTGGGGTTTGTAATCTTTAAATTTATCAAGATCAGCCTTATCCTCAACAATTATAGCAATCACCTGTAGCAAATATAAACTTAGTTTTAGTACTATAATCCAGTCATTCAAAAGAATTTTATATCAAAGTAAGATATGAAATGTTACCTCACTAACTTGGATTTCTTTTGCTCCATCTCTGTGTACAATCGTAGCTAGATACCCTTCTTCCATGCATTCCAATAAAGTCAAACTTAAAGAGTGAAGACAGAGTTGAAGATAAAGGAGACATACTGTTTTCACAGAGTACTTTACCAGGTGCAACTTGATCTCCTTCTTTCGTTAACCATCTTGCTATGTCACCCTGAATGAAGGAATCTGTGACATCCCCTAATTTCTCGGCCAGAAAAGACCGATTTAATTTATGCTTTTTAAAATAAAATCAGAGAAATCTTTTTAAAAGATGTTGCGGAATTGGTCCCCAAAACAAAATATGATAAAAGTTTATCAAAACCTTTCTTTAAGAAATATATAATTTCATTTCATATCAAAACCTCGGGATGTCATGTTCCGATACAGATCAAAAGCATAAACAAGACATTATAAGCCTTTCAACAGTTATTTACAACTACTGGCCTATAATCCAAAAATTTCTCATCGTCCTCCGACTATGCTCGGGGTCCACTACCTGTAACATAAAAAGCTGAGTGGGTCAGGCTTAGGAGCCTGGTGAGCATATAGGGTTTTCAACCCACAATAATAATAAACTTATTAAGTTCATCAATCAACAATAACCCTGATTACCCGTTCCCGTTATCCTCACTTTACGTCCCTAAACACTTATCACAAGGGACCTAGCCTAAAGAATATCATCGGGATGGACACTACTGCTAAGGGGTTTCCTCAGCCATACATGTCCTAAAGGCAACCATGGGGGGGATGGAGTACAGCGAATGAACACCCAAGTTCATTAACACCTACAGGTTGCGGGCCTGCCAGCGTTCCACTGGACTGTCTAGAAAAGTTTGTGGTCGTCATCCAAACTCCGCTAGATGACTGAATCACAATCACATCGAGGCCTCTCATCATTTTATCTCATCACACATCAACTATCTACCCATGCTTTACCCAACAGATTTGTAGATAAAAATACATATACAGTTTAAAACTTGTATAAAACATCTATTCAACAATCACCTCAATTAAACAATTAATATAATTACACGTAGCACGTATTTTAAAGAAAATACTTCATATCTAGGTGTAAGATGAAGGTGGCTATACACTCACTTGATTTGATGAAAACCGGGCAGCAATTCGTTTCCTAAAACGTTCGTTTCTAATAAAAATTGGGAGTTTTATTGAGAAACCGGGCTCTGCGAGGGTCGGGCTTCGAAACCGAAAAGATAAATTTTTGGGCTTCTCGGGCACTTCGTGGCGTATTCCGGGGGTTATACTTGATACCGGGGCTTTGGGGGATGTTATAATGAAGGAAATATGAAGAAAGGGGTAAAAGATGGCAAATTTCCAAATGTATCCGAGAAGGCTCGCAGCCTTCTATTTATAGGAAGAGGCTGCTGATCGGACAGCTGGAGAGAAGACACGTTGCAGCAGATCCGAAGGGGGCAGCACCTGGCTCGCACGTGGGCTGCGCATGCCAGGGGCTCGGTGGCAGCTTCTAAGTGGACCGAAGTCTAGTCCGAAGCTTCGGACGTGGCACCATATGCGAGACTCGGACATGTCACAAGAGGGTACGAGGCAGCTCCTGATTGGCCGAGCCTCCGGTCCGAAGAGAATGCGACACGCGTCGACAGGTGGCCTCGGATGACTCACGAGATCGGACACGCGTCAGATGCGAGGCGAGGACACATGGCCGAAGTCCACGTATGCGAGATTTCCCGATTTTGACAATATTTCTCGATTTTCACGCCAAAACTTCTAAAATCCATAACTTTCGCATACGAGCTCCGTTTTTGACATTCTTTATATGCACGCGTAGGTAAAGTTACGCTCTACAACTTTTGTTTAAACTTCGTCGGCTAGTTTTGACTTTAATTTTTATATTATTATTTTTAACAGACCGGGACAGGAAATCCGTTAAAATTCATAACTTCTTCATTCGACGTCCGTTTTCGTCTGTCTTTTTACCGTTGTGCTACTATTGACGAGACCTTCGATTCTCGTTTAGGTCGTGTTGGCTAAAAATCACTCGATCTAAAATTCGAGTTTTTAGTTATCTACTGCTAAGCTGAAACTTCGAAAAATCATAACTTCCTCATACGAAGTCAGATTTGGGCGTTCTTTTTATGCCTACTCTCGTTTTAACGAACACTACGACTTTCGTTTAGATCACTAAGCCCAAAAAGTAGTTTATAAAAAACTCAACTTTTACGACATTCGGCACCGTGCCGGTTTTGTCGCGAAACTTCGACAGGTCATAACTTCTTCGTTATAACTCGGATTTTGGTATTCCTTATATATCCGTAATCCTTGTCACGCCCACTACAAGTTTCTCAATAGATATCGGCTTTATCTAATATTTATTTTTGACGCTCATTTTTATTCTTAATTAATTAAACCCTAATAATTAAGCATAAAACACATAATTCACATAATATTCACATAATTCCTTTTCATTTCTTCAAAATGAGTTACAAAGGTTAACCTAGACTATAACGTCAATATTAATGCCTAGCCTAGAAACACGGGCATTACAGAATCAAGGGAAAATTTTAGTAAAAATAGTAATGTATAGAACTGTATTGAGATACCCTTGAATTTAGAATAACACTGGCCTCTGTCATTGTGGGTGAAAGAGAAGGCATCCCAATATCTTGGTGTTGGGGAAGGCCTGCAAGTCAAAGCATATGAATTTCTTTTACATGAGTAAAGAGGTGTAAAGTACAAGGTATATATGATTTTTCTGAACTTTGATAGTGTAAAAACGAGTCATTATCTAAAATTTCAATCTCTTATCTCCAATTTTGCTGTTGACTCTATCATCTATTTATGTTCATAGATCTGTATCAAATAATTAAAATATGACTTTGTTTCATGTTGGGTCAAAGCTTATGCTTACTTTATTTATCCTGTAACAGATGGAAAACGTCTTATTGGTCAGCGATTCAGCGATGCCTCTGTATAGAGTGACATCAAGTTATGGCCTTTCAAGGTCACTCCCGGTCCAGCCGAGAAACCAATCATCGCCGTCAATTACAAAGGCGAGGAAAAACAATTTGCTGCAGAGGAGATCTCGTCCATGGTTCTCATCAAGATGAAGGAAATCGCAGAAGCTTTTCTCGGATCAACAGTCAAAATCGCAGAAGCTTTCCTCTGTATAGAGTGACATCAAGTTTTGACTGAACTTCCATATTTATTTTCTCACATGGTAGTCCCGAAATACGACATGCCACTAAATCTTGCATTGCACACTCTCCAAATATGACAGTTTTATTATATTGATTTTTGGAAAATATAATCTACATATGTTTCGATTTTTTTAAGTAAATTTATCAATCCATTTCCATCTTTATGGAAATAGATTCCACAGTTTATCTCATTATTTGTATCTCTATGCATACATGTTTAAAAAAATTCTTAACAGTTATGATGTTTCTAAATATTCCATTTTAATTTTATTGTTTTATAGAATATGGAATTACGAGGAAGCTACTTTGGTGAACAGCTTCAGTAATCATGAGTGTCCTGACAAAGGGATATCAAAACTATGCCTGGTGAATAAGCTTGATGAAAGCTTGCTGCTTGTTGCCTCATGTAAGTTTATGTGTATATATATATATATATATATATATATATATATATATATATATATATATATATATATATATATAATCTCATGCTTACTGATGTAGTTTGTTTAATGTTAATATTATTTACCTAATGAATAAAGGTGATGGAAATGTGCGTATATGGAAAGATTACACTTTAAGGGGTAAACAGAAAATTGTAACTGCATTCTCTTCCATTCATGGTCACAGACCTGGTGTCAGAAGTGTGGGTGCTGTAGTAGATTGGCAGCAGCAATCCGACTTTATGGTATCAACTACTCTTACTTTTCATTCACTTTGATGCTTTTTTATACGCTTTCATTTGTTTATAACAACATATGTTTATGTTTTACTTATTAATGCAGTTTGCTTCTGGTGAAATTTCATTAACCATGGTTTGGGACCTGGATAAAGAGCAACTTGTGAGCTCTATTCCCCTAGCATCAGATTGCAGCATTTCAGCTTTGGTAGGTTCACTTTGACCTTGACCCCCATTGTTTTATATTATTTGATATTGTTTCTAATATATATTTTATTGTGTGAATATGCATGTATTGTCTCTTTTAGGCGGCTTCTCAAGTTCATGGAGGTCAATATGCAGCTGGCTTTGTGGATGGATATGTGAGATTATTTGACATCCGAACACTTGATGGGTATGTTTGTCGTTTCATCTTAAATTACTCATATATGAATTCATTCTTGTTTGTGTTGCACGACCACACACTCGAAGAGTAGAAAGAGTTGTTGGAGGTATAGAAAGAGTTGTGGGAATCGGCTTCCAACCTGGACTCGATCCAGCAAAGGTAAATTTTTATTTTTATTTTTATTTTTTGGAAAAATTATAACTTAACGTTTACTTTTGTTTGTTTTTCTATATTGTGAAATTCGTTTCAGATTGTGAGTGCATCTCAAGCAGGAGACATTCAGGTCTTGGACATAAGAAATCAAAGCGACGCGTACTTGACCATCGATGCGCACCGCGGTTCATAACTGAAGCAAACACATATTATCTGCCTATGATGTTGTTGCAGGTATTATAAGAAATAACAACATACATAAGAAATCAAAGAGGAAGTGGATACATCTGGCTATGATGCTGTTGCAGGTATTATAAGATTTAGTATTAATTGTTCAGAACTTGTTAATATATCAGTTAAAGTTGTAATCATTAAGTCTTTGAATTTCAAGAAAATGCATTTGAAGAGGACGAAGGAGAAGCAAACACATATTATCTGCCTGGAGGGTTTGAAGGTCACAAATCTTCAAAAGCTGCTCAAAAAAGAAGGAAAAACTTTAAAATTTATAGGGGGAGATCATATGAGATGGGAGGTGATGTGTCGCTCATGCAAGCTGGTGGGACCCAACCCTCTATTTTGAGTGGGAAAAGACCTGCCACCAGTTTAAATGTCTCAATTCCAACAAAAAGAGTGTACTGCTTCTCAAGTCATGGGTTTCTTTTAATGTTTTACATGTTTTGTTTTCAATAATAAATATTATGCAATATTAGCAATATGTTACATTTACTTACTATTGGAATGATTATTTGTATTTGACATATTAGTGCAATGAATTATCTTTATTGTTTATGGTATTTTATTTTGTATCATGAGACTTTTAATGTGTTATTTAATTTGAAAATTAGTAAATCTATCAAAAATATATAATTTTAAAAACATTTAAAATTATGACTCCCAAAAATGTGTGTCGTCTTCCTTTATGACAGGGGCTTCCTTGATACGCATTGCGTGTCACAACTGCGCGTCGTAAATGTGTGTCATAAATGCGCGTCGTAAACGCGCGTCGTCAGTCGTAAATGTGTGTCATAAATGCGCTTCGTAAATGTGTGTCATAAAAGCGTGTCATCTCTCGTTATGACATGGCCTTCCTTGACACGCATTTGTGTGTCGTCTGAGCGTTTTACGACACGCATTGCGCGTCGTAAAAGGCTGTTTTTATAGTAGTGTATCGGAGGTAGGGTCTGTTTGGTATACGAAGTATACTGTTTGCAAATCCCACTTTAAACACATCACTAAATCACAGCCTAGACATCATCCCCGTAAGTAGATCAATCAGCATAATGACTTTGAATCACTGATAAATCTTGTTTATAGGTTCATAATAACGACAATGAACTTAAACATAAGTTATACTTAAAGTACGGTAAGCATAACTCACTTACAAGGGGTTTTAGCGAGGAAACCGGGCTCTACACAGGCAGAACTTCTGAGCCGAAAGCTCTTCTTCTCGGGGCCTTCTAGCGCTCCGGGACTCGCTTCTAAAACCTAGGAGGTGCTAGGGAAAGGCTTCGAGGGGTTGGGGGTGTTTGAGAGAGAATGGGTTAGAAAGGTGTGAGAAAACAAGTGATTTGCGTCTTCCATTTATAGGTTGGAAATCTCACGAACGTGGGTTGTTAAAGAGCTAAACGTGGGGCGTTCGAATGCCACATGTCGCCATCTCGTTCCAAGCCATAGGGAAGAAGGTGTGGCCCAAATCGCGTCACGTGTCACTCGCAGGTTTAGCCCAAAATTAATTATCTTCTAAAACCCGTAACTTTCGCACACGAGCTCAAGTTTTTTACATTCTTTATATCCACGCTTAGGTAGTGACGTGATCTACAACTTTCGTTTAGATTCCGTCGGCTAATTTTGGATTTATTTTTAAAGTCATATTTTAACAGCCTTACACAGTTAAAGTCTGTTAAGAATTCATAACTTTGTCATCCGACGTCCGTTTTCGACTGTCTTTATATCGTTGAGCTCCTATTAATGAGATCTTAAATTCTCATTTAGGTTGTGTCGGCTAAAAATCGATCCATCTAAAATTCGATTTTCGGGCTGTATACTATTATGCAAAATCTTAGAAAAATCATAACTTCCTCAAACGAAGTCAGATTTGGACGTTCTCTCTATATATATATTCTCGGTTTAACGTCTACTACAACTTTTGTTTATATGCTAAGGCTAAAAAGTATTTTATCAAAAATTTACTTTTTACGATACGTGGAGTCGTGTCGGTTTAATCGCGAAACTTCGACGGGTCAAAACTTATTCGTTATAAGTCGGTTTTTAGCGTTCTTTATATGTACGGAATCATTGTGACATATACAATAACTCTGGTTAAGATTATTTATTCTAAATAATCTTCTATCAAAAAGTAATTTTTAAAGTTTATTATCTCTAAATTGACTAGCCTGAATCTGCGGGCGTTACACTAACTCATATAGAGTCGTATTTCTACAAAATTTATATATTTGGGATCGGGACGACGTGTACTTTCTATATATATATATATATATATATATATATATATATATATATATATATATATATATATATATATGTTTTGACGCACTTATCTTTACGATTTACGAACGATTCGGTTGATTTTTCCTATTTTTCTTAATATGAAAGTTATATTATATCTTAAATGTTTAGCCCGATTTGTGGTCGTTACATCCCCTCACCGTACATACCTAATAGGAAATGATACCACACCCACCACACTTTTGATTTTATTTTTTTAATTAAATTTCATACTTGTACAAATATTTAAAACACATATTTATAATAATAAAAGAGAAATATTCCATTAATTTAATTTAAAATGATTACATATCTAAAAACGACAATTAAATAAAAACATTACAAAAATAGACTAATTGTAATATTTTTTCATGATTTCCACTCTAGCTTCAAAATCATATCGAGCTCGTTTCCGGTGAGATGATAGATGGGTTTTGTTAAAATTTCAAAAATTAGTCATTTCTAGCCGTCGGAAGGTGGTGTTTTATTTTTTCCTTGTTGTAACACCCGATTCAAGGTATTTTTTCATTTTTGACCTTTGGTATAAAAATAGTTTGTAAAATTGGTCCATAAGGGTATTAAATGAAAATTGGGGAAGGCGTGCATACGCTAGGCGTACACTCTTGTACGTTGGGCGTACGTGGTCATGGGACAAACCCTAATGTTTAGGGTTTGGACCCTATTTAAACAACCTTATGCCCCAAGGTTCTCTCATTTTCCAGCCTTCATTGCCCTTTTGAGCCTCATTTTGAAACCCTAACCCATCTAGAGATATTTGATCTTTATGTGTGTGTGTTTTAGTGGGTGTTTGATGAACCTTGGAGAAGAAGAAGTTTGGAGAATGAGCATTGATCAAGTTGGAGCTTGTAGATCCAGAACCTACTCTTATTTCTCAGCTTTATTGAGGTATAAAGTCTTGACCTTGATTGTTCTAAGCTTGGATCTAGGCCTAGTAAAGTTTTGAGCACATTTTGGTCCCATGTATGAGTTTTTGTGAGGATTTGTCACTCTAGAAGTTATAAGTTGCTCGTTTTGATGTTTCTGAGGTCCCTAGTCCATAAAGTTTGCATCTTGATGGTTGAAGATCAACCCTACATAAGTAAATTCTTATTTGGTGAACGTAGGATGCTAAATCTAGGGTTTGAATCTATTTGAGCCATGCAAAGGCATCAAGTTTGTAACTTTATTGTTTAAGACATCCCCCTCTGGATCTGAAAAATGGGCGTTTGATCTTGTAACATCCAAAAATCACAATAAATTTTAACTTTTCAAAAACAACCCATTTCTTCCATAAAGTGTTTACAAAACCAATGTTTCAAAAGTATTATTCAAAAATAGAGTATCCCAAGATCTAATGTCATAAAAACCGGAAGATATGCACAATCACGCCTTATCTTTCCCATGATCCTCTGAAGTACCTGAAGCAATAAAACTGAAACTGTAAGCACGAAGCCTAGTGAGTTTCGCCCAAAGGACAACCACACGACATAACAACAACAGCATACATACAGGAGCCTTCAGAATGACTGGACTGACAAATAACTCAAGATTCCCTGATACGTCATTACCAACCCACTACTCCTACGAGCAAATATGATCAATCCAAAATTTTCATGCTATATCCAAACCCTTATCAGCTCAGGTGTACCTCCGCCTGAAAAATCACTTGAGATTTTATAACCAACTCCTCATACTGGAAACCCAACTCCTAATAGACAACCCCACAAGAAGATGGGGTCCATCATAGTTACCGTTCATTAAGCGACTTCCGGTGCACAAATAACTTTTCCTGATGACATGATCCAAACCAGTTGGTCACCGAGCTTCCCGACTCCCAAGAACAACACACAGTCATCCAACCATACCAATAAGACTAATAATCTGAGACCTAAGAGTCCCAACCAAATGACTACCGAGTCTAAAGATACTCAACCATCAACCCACCATCTTGCAGAAAACCCATTCAGCATTCCTTTCGACGCTAACCAAACACGACCCAGGCCATACCCTTTTATCACGTACAATTCCTGGCACAGCATAGGCTGCTACAAATGCAAAATCATATGAAAACATGGTCGCACCTGTAGCGCCCGCAGATTTGGGCTAGTCAATTTAGAGACGACAAGCGTCAAAATTGACTTTTTGATAGAGGATTGTTTAAAATAAATAATCTTAACTAAGTGGTAGTATATGTCACAAGGTTTCCGTACATATAAAGAACACTGAAATCCGAGTTATAACGAAGAAGTTATGACCTGTCGAAGTTTCGCGACAAAACCAACACGACACCGGGAATCGTAAAATGTGAGTTTATGATAAAGTACTTTTTAACCTTAGTTATCTAAAAGAACATTGTAGAGTACATCTCCGCCTACGCGTGGATATAAATAACGTCAAAAACGGAGCTCGTATGCAAAAGTTATGACCTTCCAAAGATACAGCTGTCTGAGAGCATGACACGCGTCAGAAACCCTAATTTGACTGAGCTCACGACGTGAGCATAGAAATTCACGACGTGAGGAGTCAAAACGGACACCATTCAAAGTTAGGGACACATGGCGAAGCTACGAGGTGATACAGCCATGGCTCACAACGTGAGCATTGATTCTCACGACGTGAGAGACCAAAAATCAGCCTATAAATAGCCATTTCGACCCCAAGGCTCATTACACTTTCTACTTTCATTTT